CGCGCTGGCTGGGCGCGATAACAGGGTCGACATGAATTGCATCAGGCCCAGCAGAATGTCAATAACACTAAGACCGATCATGTTTACAGGGGATTTGAGCAACCAGTCGATCAAGTATATCAGGGCGTGCGAGCGTTGCAGGGTCTCTTCTGTGGGCTGGTCCTCGAGCAACACCTCCATTGCCGAAACCAAAATGATGAAACGGACCTGAACGGGACACCACTTGGCGACGAGTTCCACTAGAGACGTAGCCCAGCCGCCTGTCGAATCCATATGCATAGGTTTGCTATCTTCGGATAATGGGCCATTGCCCAGGATGAATTGCAGCACCACTTTCGTAGTGACGCGAATCTGACCACGGCTACTCCCCGTCACGACTATGCGTTCCAAGCATCGGAGAGCAAGCAAACGCATGTCCATTTCCGCCTGCCTGTCAACGTCGGCCGCAGACTGTGACGCCAATGCAGGATCTCCATCCATTGCGTCAACTGTCTGCACGGTTGCAGTACTAACCCTCCGTCGTCGACCAAGCGCCGGCTCATTCTTCTCCGACTCGTGCAGTCTGAGCTCGAGGGCCGCCAACAGGCTATCGTCACCATTGTAAAGACATTCCAGAATGACCGGGAGAAGGATCCTCAGTGAATCTCCGCCGTCCGCCGCGAGACCTGCTTCGGAACTAACCACACCTTTGATCGCTCGCAATCCCGCTGTCCTCCAACGTATTACCATCGGACCGCTCGGTGCAGTCTTCAGTTGGGAAACGGATTTTGTCTGGTCTGCGAAATCTGCATACGTCTGCACGACTACCCGGTATTGACTGGCGAAATCCTGTTCAGCAGATAGCGCGGCCATATCCTGATGCCGACAGAACGTCTCGAACGTCGATATCGACTCTTCAACCATGGAAAGATCTCCGGAGCGTAGGACGGTTTCAAGGACGGTCATCACCGATCTGGCATAGATAGGAAGATCGCGGGGGACTTTCTCGATGAGCGCCGTGAGGATTTGAAGTGTTACCTGTACATTTCTATATGAAATACCCAAATCAGTCAGGGGGAATTGCGACCGCGATGGTTGATAACTGCGCGCGGGCTCGCTTTAAACTCACCCTAACTTGTTACGCCAGACATCCCGAGCTGCCCTTTTCTCCAGAAAGGCGCCGACCTTGGTCAGCTTGCTCCGGCGCGTGCTCACATAGTAGAGTAGATAAGAGAGTTCACTGGAATTTGGTTTCACATCCTGGACTCCTTTCTGGTATTGTGGGTAACATTTGAGGACCAAGACCTGGTGTTTAGGCCGGCATGATTGGCGCACGCTCTCCATTGAAACAGATGGTTGCAAAATTGAATTATGAGGTACTTGTATGGCAATACGAAGGCCCAGTTGACCGGTCGTCAACAACGCCGTACACGATCTGGAGGAGTGAAAGTAGTGGTCACTACCTAGAGACGGAACTTCCAAATAGCACTGGTTAAGTAATGTGCAGTCTTTTATGTCATGGATATGCAAATCGGCCGATCAGGGAGGGACGAGGTCACTGCACTGCTCTCCGCACAAGCCTACAGAAACCAGTGTGAAGTTTGGCAGAAGGGCCGGAGGAGAGAGAAAGGAGATTCGGTCGGTATAAACACCAAACGCGGGGTTAATCCATCGGAGTGTACATTCAATAATTTTGCTTGTGCCTAGGAGCCGGTCTGCACAAGATATGATGAGAGGAGTATGAGATCCGAGTGTTGGGGAATGACGCAGGAGAAGTGAGATTGTTACTCGGTGTTTTTCCAGGTTACTTTTGAGAGGTACAGTAGCGTTGGGTCGCGCACGGAGTTAAGGCTGGGGAAAGCTGGGTATCTTCGCCGTTGGCCGCACCAGCCTAGTCGCATGTGTGCGATCAATCAATCGAGGTGAGGTAAGGGATCATAGAATTAGTTAAATGTACTGGGATGAGAGTAACATTAAATCCTTTTTGATAATATTTTTTGGCATTTAATGGCATGCTTTCACCCCGACCGAGCTGATCAGACAAGGAGTGACTACGTAACTCCTATGACTTGGCTGGTTTGCATAAGAATAAAAGACCCCATGCAATTCTGGAAATAACGCAAAATCCAAAGATTCAACTGTAACCGTGTTCTTTCTCAACTACATATCTACCTTTCAAGGAGTAGAAGTATTTTTGAGTGTTTGTCCAATCTATACTCGGACCAATGTGCTTGGTCTAGATATAGAAACGGAAATGAACACCAACAATTGAACCGAGTCCCGCAACAGACCCCACATTTGAACCAAGATGAATGGGGATAGCATTGCGATCCATTTGACAAGCAAAATCCTCGGAAAGGATGAAGCTTTTGGAGCTTACGCGCCCTGATCTCCCTTGTAATCGGTATGAAGGACAATTGAGGGAATGCCTCGGTCACACATGATGGTCTGTATGTAAGAACATACATTATCTGCATCTTGCATGAACCTCACGATCATACTGTCGTCGTAGTCTCGATAATGGAAGGGGAGCCCTGTACCCCACTGCAGATCCTGTGTCTACAACAGAATAGCAAATTGTGCCCCGGGTTTACTCCTTGGGAACACCTCAAAAGAGTGCCGAGCCTGCCGCGACACTGCCCTGAGGGCTGTTGGACGAAAGAATCATTTATCGATTGACACAAGCCCATCATGTCTTTGAAGCGATATTCTCCTTGTCTTGCTGTGTCCCTTGGTCTCCTTCGTTATGCCCAATGTCTCCCGCCTCTACGTTTTGTCCACCCTGCCCATCCTCAAGACCGGTCCCTGCTAAAGCTTCGATGACTTGAGGGCGAATGATGTCGCGACGGAAGGTTTCTTCTTGTAGAAGCCGTAATGCTCGTAAAGTCGCGCCGGGATGCGTCAGAAATTGCGCGTATTCAGGTGTTTTCCAGTAAGAGTAGAGGTAGGCAAGGTACGCGGCGAAGGCCTGCGCTTCGGGGTCTGGGCCCTCGGTGCCGGTGTTACTGTCGTCGCTGGATTTGGAGATTCCCAGGAGGTTGGGATAAGTCACCGCCAGGTGGGAAAGGTAGTAGGGGTTTGCGAGCGAAGAGACGAACTCTAGTTCAAGGGTAAATCGAGGATTTTTGAGTGACGGCGGGGGACGTTGCTGGGGGTGAGCCAGAGGCTGCTGGTCCATCGCCAAGGAGGGATTGAATCACTGCCGGAGAAACAAAGGTCGATTGATATCTAGAAGATTCAAGTATATTCTAAGTAGAAAACAAGAGGGACGAGTAGACTCTCGTCCTGAATTTGGAGCATGAAGGGGAGAAGGTGCAAGAACTGTTTCAGAGTTGCCAAGATCTCAGAGAACTGATGATGCGCGCTTCGCCAAAAAAGGGAAAAGATACAGTGGCCCACACAAGCTTGATATCAACCTGTGTTGTCCCACTCACTTCCAAAAGACAACAGAACATACTATGGCAGGAAACACATTGAATAATCAACTTTTTTAGTGGCCCTAACTCCGACATACTTGTGCACGAGTTTTACCTCTGTGATCTTAGTGTGGTCAAGGAGGAGTCGACACATTAACAAGCTGAAAAAGTTACTCTGTGTGCCTGCTGAACGTTATCTAATCCCCCAAAAGAAATCTATCTGCTTAATAAACGAGTTACTGCTTTTTCTTTCGGACAGTCAAGGTCAAAGGTGAAGGTTTTCCCCTTGACCAATCTATGACTAGTTCATCGTCTCTCATCGGTTGAAGGACGGATCCAAAGGCTCACCGGCACAACGTGATCGCAAACCATCAAATACAAATTGGTTCGAGCTTACACAAGACAGGGATAGGCTGTGTTCCAGATCGTCGTTGACCATCCCCATGCGTCGGGAAGATCTGAAAGTATATCAGGTACCGGGAGTCACGAAAGAGTCGGGGCCTGCACAACGTCTCTGATTCGAGCTTGAGGCCATAACTACCTCATGCGAATACTACTCGCTGAAAGACACTGCATTTCGCAGTCTGGAGAGCTTCTCACGTCTCCATGTCGGAGTCGTTTTCAAAGCTGAGCTGGAAGGCCCCGAGCGCTCAATGGCAGTTTTCATTGGCAGAAACAAATATGGAGCTTCTGTTACCGATGATTTGCCTTTTTGCTTAGCTTGCTGGGAGCTATTAGTGTGGCCAAATAGGATCGAAGAGCAGGAACCAACACAGCATACTGATTGATTCTGGAGCTAGACAACCCATTTTATTCTGTCTGGACCGGCTTAAGGACAACCGCAAAGGGCACGACATTAGCCCGTAGTCACCAACGGCATTTTGAGACCAACCTCAATGGAAAAGCTCACCCTCTGAACATCAAACAGTGACAGAACAATGCGCGCATTGTTAGATGACCCCATTGCCTTATTGCCCGGTTATCGGTGGTTCGGCTTTTCGATTTGGACTCAACCGAGCCAAATCTATCTAGAACTTGGTCTTGGATACGAGCAAGGCCACATATCGACGATACCATGCGTATATTTTCCCAGCTTGTAATTAAACCACTCATTTTTTTCACCATTGTCACTCTTGGGGACGTCCACGTGCTCTTGGCATCTCAGCCGTCGCCAAGACGCTTTCTCCGCCGGCTTTGCTTGGCAACTGGAACTGCAGCTTGTGCCCCTGTTACCCAAGCTTCCTAAGAGAGCACCTCGCCTGTGCACGTGTGGGGGAAGCTCGTTTCGCATTGGTCGTTGATGGACATGTCCGCATTGCAAGGACGCCTCGTTATCTGCCAAGCCCGTCGGGTCTTGGCTCAATCCTTTGACCTTCCTAATTCCCAGTCTGATATGGTGCCACCAACAGCACTCGTGCACGGTCTCGACGACTGAGAGAACCATCCGTACCAGTTCCTGCGCAATGCACCTCTTATGCATCATGGAAGGATGGTCCTTGGCACCCTGACTAAATTTGTATTATAACTTATAAAGGGAGTGGTACCTCCACGGTTGAATCTGCTTTCTCAAAGGATCAATCCTCGTCTCTTTTAGACTTTGTCAAAATGAGGTTCCTCTGGGTATCCGGGGTGTCACTTCTTGCCTCGTGCGCCCATGCTCAGACATTTCAACGCTTGGGTGGTTGTCCTACTCTGGGCTGTGTCTTCCCTCCGGATCAGTATGTTTTGACTAAGAATATCGCTTGCCATTGTTTATAAGTGTTGGGAGAATCTAGGGCTGATCGCGTGTTTTCTCTGTAGGGCGGATTTTCTTCCCGGTCAATATTTCGATATCCGACTGGAGGTTCACTCTCCCGTCAACGGCTCTGAGGCTCGCGCGGGTGTACCCGACCCCGACTTTAAGTTCACTATCGCCAAGAAGGGTAAAAAGCCAGTCCCTGTAACGAAGTACTTTGACATCGAAGAGCCCGAGCTCGAAAGATGGAACTTCACATGGTATGAAGGTATGGTCGTCATTAGCTGTCGACACAACAGCGCACCTGCTGACCATAGTTAGACCTGTTTGCGGAAGACGCGAACACGCCTTCGCTTGTCAATGTGACCTCGAAGGCCTACAGGAGAGTTGCACTCTATGAGCCTGGAGAGTACGAGGCTACCTTGACCTACTATGGAAACCAGACAACCACGGCCAACTGGCTTGTCCGGGACCTTTCCACGAAGCGGCGGGCCAAGAACGTGATCCTTTTCGTTGGCGACGGAATGACCACCAACATGATCACTGCTGCTCGTCTCATCGCTCATCGCAGTATCAACGGCAAGTACATGACCAAGATGCAGATGGACAAATTCCCCGTTCTGGGCCACCAGATGACACACTCGATGGATTCGTTCATCACCGATTCCGCCAACTCTGCGACTGCTCTGTACGCTGGGCACAAGACCACCGTCAATGCTCTGAATGTTTACGTCGACTCCTCTGAGGATCCCTTTGACGATCCGAAGTTTGAGAACATTGCTGAGATTTTCCGTCGCCGGTACCCGGGGGCTGGTATCGGTATTGTCTCAACTGCCTTCCTAGCTGACGCGACTCCCGCCGCTCTGGCCGCTCACACCAGTGATCGGGGTGAATATGAGCACGTCATCGACGCTTTCTATGAAGGTCTGACCAAGTACGAGTGGACTAGCTTGGAGGGTCCTGACGTCATCTTTGGCGCCGGTGCGGAGAACTTCCTCAAGAGCAAGGACGCTTCGCGGGACTACTACGGCCTGTTCGCGGAGAAAGGCTACAGTATCAGCTGGAACAATACCGCCCTCCATGCCGCTCCCAATGACACCAAGGCTCTGGGTGTGTTCCAGACCTCCAACCTGGCCACCTGGCTCGACCGCAACGTCTACCAGTCCAATCTCCAGAACAAGACCAACTACCCGGACGGCTCCGGTCGCGATGCTGAGGATCTGCCCGGTCTGAAGGACATGACCCTCAAGGCCATTGACGTGCTGAATGCCCGCCACAGGAAGGACGGCTGGTTCCTCATGTCCGAGGCCGCCAGCATTGACAAGCAGATGCACTCTCTGGATTATGATCGGTCTCTGGGCGAGCTCTTGGAGCTGGATGATACCGTCCGCGCGACCATTGAGAAGCTCAAGGCTCTTGGTCAGTTGGACGACACCCTGATCATCGTGACTGCCGATCACGGACACGGATTCGACGTTACTGGCTCCGTTGACACCGAGTACCTCAACGCCCAGAGCGAGGACCGTCAGAAGCGTCGGGCCATTGGAGTCTACGAGCAATCTGGTCTGTCCCAGTACACCGTCGCCGGAGCCAACACCCTGCGGTATTCGGAGGGCGTTCACTTCCCCGCTCGCTGGGATCCCAGATACACTCTGCACTCGGGAACGGTAGCCTTCCCCGATCACCGGGAGAACTACCAGGTCCACGCGTCCGGCCCTCGCACCCCTGCCACCGGCTCCAAGACCAACTACTACGCCAACTACAAGGATGCCGTGACCGGGTTCCTGATCAACGGCACCCTGCCAGTGGACGCCAACCAGGGCGTGCACTCGCTGACGGATGTGCCCGTGTTCGCGCAGGGTCCATGCCAGGAACTGTTTGGCGGAGTATACAACTCTATTGATATCTTTTTCAACATGGCCGAGTGCCTTGGACTGGCACAGACCAAGAAACCCAAGGGCAAATAAGTGCTCGGGTGGAGCTTAAAGCTACTCCAACTTACTTATCTTCTAGGGAGAGATTGGAGTTTTTCAGATGTATTTATTCTTGGTGTATGGTGACGACCTGGAGCTCTAATATTTGGCGAGGTGTGAACCAATGTCTCAGATTCTAAACGGATAGAGAATGATGTAGAAAATGATGTAACAATGAATACTGAACCCTGATATTTGACAAGTTTCTCTTGAGTATTCTTATTTTCCATTTCCAAGATGGGTTTCCCTGGAAAGCCGTCCCTGACGTACCAGCAGCACGATAGGAATGGATCCTTGCATCAGCGCAGGGTCGAAAACCGGGGCCGTCACTACGTAATTCCCAAACATTCCATGTCAGTAGACAGTAAACTATCCTATCTACCCCTCGGTACAGATTGTAGGAGGAAGTTTTATTGCTATCAACCCAGCTCCGATGACGGAGTACAGTGGCACCTTGTAGGCTGGTCGTAGGAGGATAAGGGTCACACCCCTGGATTGGTACATAGTCCACATGCCTTGGTAATGGCGCGCGTGGCATTCCTGACGGAAGGCTGCCGGCGATGGAGTTGTTGGTATGTAGCTCACGCCAACTTTTCTTCTTTTTTCTCTATCAGTTCTAGAGGTGTACAGGTTTGTGTCGAAGGAATGGTTTGAAGATGTCATGGATCAATTATGAGCACTGGGGTGATTGACTTCTGCAGTGTGGTCGACTAAATGGCTAGTGACGGGACTAATACTCTGGGGTACGGCAGAGTGGAGTCAGGTCAGGAGGAGTACGTAGGAGTAAGTAGCTAAGTTGACATTGCATGGGCATGAGGCATGGTTGGGGCAGAGTAGTAAGAAAGTAGATACTAAATTATTATTTACTACAGGGTTCGATAACTGGATAGAGAGTGTGCTCTAGGTATCTAAAACTGACCATAATGAATCAACTCCTGCCGTCGATCCGCGGTTAATCTCTGTTGTCCCTTATCTTCCAACACCAAATAGTAGTCCTCTTCTGTCATATGGTTTCTTAATCAGTCATTGTTGCGTTGATTCATCTGACAAAATATTTTCTGACTCTTTCTTCTTGATTTTTATTCAAGATGTCATTTAATGCCCCTCGTTGTACTGATTAGTTATTATTGTCATCTTTGTCATCATTATCATCCATCTAGTTATTCCTCTGGTCCGCACAGGTCTCAACCGCCCACTTTCCCGTCCTTTTCCTCTTTCCCCCCCCTTAACTAACGACGATCAATGAGCCCGTCGTCTTCTTTACTTTTGCGCCCCCCAGAATCAGTTGATAACCAATAATTATTGTCAAGTGATATTCTCCCTTTCTCCTTTTGTGTCTTAGTACACTCTTTTTTTCCCTGTTCCTCCAGCCAGTCGGTTACCTTAGAAGTTGATCACTTTAAACCGTAGAACAGGGGCAACCGCCTTCACCTTCTCTTCCTTCTACTTCCTCCTTTTCTTCCCCCAGTCCAAAACACTACTTCTTTCTCCTGTGCTTGCTAAATTCTCCGAATCTGCTCTTTCTACCGGAGAAATCTGAAAAAGCAAAGGATCTCCTACCGTCCTACGTACACAGCATAGACTAACAACGTCTTCCTCCCGTCTCCATTCATCTACCAACGCCCCTCTTTCCATCCCTCCCAATCAAACTACGTATCGACCAAGTTCAACCCCCTGACCGTTATCTGGCGGATACCAATATCGTTGTTTCAGCGACTCCTCGGCGCTGGGACAGTCCAGTCTTTACGCGCGCTCTCAATCATTTTGATCGACCTTAGTCTTCTCTCTAAGATCCTGCTTTTATGAACACAGTCTTGAGCTCCCCAATCACCTCGTTCATCTCTATCTTTTCTCGATCTTGATTGCGTGTGCTGCAAAGATGAACGCCCATCAGCACCCTCCAACCCTGTCATATCCTTATCCACCTGGCGTTTCGCTGGGCCCAGCAGGTGCGTCAGTCTTTACTATTTTGAGTGTTGCAAAATCCTGATCCTTTTTCGCCGTCGGTGATCATTTGCGTTTCTCTGTTGTTTCATATCTGGCGGGGCCTGTTGATGGCTCGAGAGCTCTGTCCTTCAATTATTATCTATATCTAAACGTTGCGTCGCTTGCTTTTTTTTGTCTATTACACTCGCAACGATTTGTCTTACTGACGGTAATCTCTGTGAACTAGACGGTCAGATTTCACCTCGCCTGGCTGTCAACCTAGGCTCCAATAACCCTTTCAGAAACCGCGCCTTGTCTCCTGCCGGTTCTGCTACATCTGGATCCCGACCGCCGCGACCGACCTCTACGAATCCTTTCCTCGACGATACCGATAGTCTCTCTTCTCCACGGTCGGCTCCAGTGGGAACTCTGTTCTCACCTGTGGAACAGCAGGATATGACCTCCAACACACGGGAGCTTTTCGTACGTTTGTCTTATTTCCTTGGTGGCTTCTCTGGACCTATCTAACCATTCGTGCTCCTTGACCTGCAGGAGAACCTCAGTCTCAACTCTCAGCCCCAGAGCAACGGTCACCGACCAGCTCCACCCCCTCCCGCCAACGGCTTCTCAACAGCACCGTCAAACTCCCGTACACCTGGCCCGCCGAGGGAGCGCTCAGACCGTGGAACAAAGGATCCTTTCGACATATTCGCCGATCCGCCCAATTTGACAAAGACGACGAGTCGCACGGGTCAGAGGCGGGATAGGGAACGTGAAAGACGGCCCCGCCGCAACTCAGAGTCCTCTATCATGGACCGACCGAAGCCTATGGATTCTGATGAAGAGAAGCGTCGACGAGAGAGACGGCGACGTGAGCGGGAAGCTCGTCATCGCGATGGAAAACCTCGGTCTAAGAGGACCAACTACCAGCTGGATATTATCGATAAACTGGATGTGACCAGTATTTACGGCACGGGGAGTAAGCTATGCCCGCTGAACTCAATTCAGATTAAAGAAGGGTGAAATTAATACTAATCACCTCTACTAGTGTTCCATCACGATGGACCTTTCGATGCCTGCAACCCTCACCGCAACCGCAAAGGATCGCGCACCGCTCCCATGCAGGCCTTCCCCAAGGACTCTCCCAACATGGCCCTGGGAGGTTCTGGACCCGTCAACAAGAATATTAACCTTGACCAATTTCACGGTACGATGGAGGAAGGGTTCAATGATTACGGCTCGACAAGTGCTGCAAGAAGCGGGGAGGCCGTCAGCTTCGACCCGAAATCACGCATTGAACCTATTCATGGAGCAGAAAGTATGGGCCTTGGTACGAGCACTTTCCTTGAGGGAGCGCCAGCAAGTCGTGCTGCGATGCAGCGCCGCGCGAGCGAGAATGAGAACCAGTTCTCCCAGAATGGAGGCCTTCAGCGGAAGAAGAGTCTTGCTCAAAGACTACGAGGCATCAATAAGCCGCAAGGTGGACGGATGGCCTCCCCAGACGCCTCCTATAATCCTCCACTCAGCTCCAGCCACTCTGGGTCGCTTCGTGCGAACGAGAAGAACCCATTCTTCCAAGATTATGATGACGCTTGGGATAAGAAAGGCGCTCGGATCAACACCGCTGAGGAATCGCGCTCAGGCATTGAAGGCGGCCGTGCACGGTCTTCCAGCAGCCCCAAACAGAGCACTAACCTCGAAAGAAGGTTCACTAATGAACGCTCGAATACTGGGGTTGAAGATGGGAAGAGCGGAGGCGGCGGCGGCTTCATCAACAGAATGAAGAGTTTGCGGAAGCCCCGGCCCGAGCGGCGGGTCAGCAATGATTGAGTTGCCTGACCTCGAACCGGCATTCTCGGAAATTTGCCTTGTTCTGTTTGTTTTTTTCTCTCCACGGGCTGTGTCGATCCGATGAATCCGATCGGGAAGCAACGGATCGAAGGACGCTTGGACGCGTATGTGCCGGACTCGCCGGGATGTCCTCCATACCGATACTATTATAGTATGGGAGTATCATAAGCTCTTACTTGCCGTGATGCCGATGATATTCGGACATGATTGTACCGCATCGTAGCGGGGACACCGCTTGGCACGTTGACATGCCATGGCATTTATACCTCTGAACATTCTGCTGAGGTTTTCTACCACCAATATGGGGATACGATCTGCACAAGCTTGTGAAAAGTGGCCTGGTGTCGTTCTGCTCAGCAGAAGTCTGCGTGGGGTGCAAAAGGAGTGGCGTTTGTTCGGATTGGGACGGGATATCCGATGCTGCATTGCCCGGACGGGCTCTCGCCTGTTTGTTTCACACCCTAGCTTTTTCACCTGTATCGCTCTATCACGAGGGTCATGTCATTTCACTAGATTCAATCATGCATCATACAGCGTACATTGATAGGTACTTTGTGTCTGTATTCAAATCACTACTCTGTTTTCCAAGATCAACATAGTACAGGCGTTTTACTCATTATCACCCAGATGTAAACTCTTGAAATAATCCAGATAGAGACAAACTTATTTCTATATCAGATTATGATACCAAGCATTGGAAATATACACAGGACAAAACGCCCACATTGAAACCATTCCATAAACCAAACCCAATCCTGTTGAAAACAAAGCCCATGTGTATCCAGCTTCAGACGACAAACAGGGCATGTGACTTGCTGAAGAAGCATGAGCGAAGCGAGCATTATGCAACGTGGTGATCGTGACGGAGGAAGAAATTAGATGAAATCGAGATGAGGAACAGAGATGATCATCATGAATGTGAGCATAAGCACGAGCACTATTAGCTATCCCTATGCCTACGCCCTCGTGACTTGACTCGGGCGAAGGGCGTATGGGTTTGGAGCGGGGATACCAGCTCGCCGCTTGGACTGGGGCTTGGGCCTGGAGAGTGTGTATCTATTTCGTTGTGGTTAGATCACTGCCTTTTAATGTAAAATGGAAGGAGGTGCGAGGGGAGTGACTTACTTGGCGAATGCCCTGGAGAGGGCCTTCTTGCAGCTGATCTTCTGGCTGCCGATGAAGGACTCAACCGTTACAGCGATGGCGCGGTCGATGTCCTGGGCGGAGCAGTACTCGGACAGACGCATCTTGCAGAAAGCTTCGGCGATACGCATGATGGCTTCCAGGTGACGGACCTAATTGTGGTTAGTACGATAGGGTGAAAGAAGATCATGTTAGAAACCACCTACAGTGATGGGGTAGGCACCAGTGGCCAGAGACTCGCGTCTCATGTCGGCGAAGAGCCGCGCGACCTTGTCCTGATCGATCTGGTAGAGCTTCGGGTGGCATCTCTCGCGCGCGTACAGGATGTACTTCCGCAGGAGCTCCTGGGGGATCTCGCCCTCCTTCTCTTCTTCCGCCTTGCGCTGGGCTGCCTCACGCTTGGCGATCTCTTCGGGAGTTGGGGGCAAGCGGTTGCCGTGCTTATCCAGGCGATAACCTTCCTCGTCGATCCGGTTGCCCTCCGAATCGATCAAGTTGCCGTCCTGGTCCCTGAGAGGCCGGGTGGGGTTGGCTCGGTGGTGAGACTCGATAACGAAGTTGGCTAGACGCTCGTCTTCATTTGGGTCGACCATGTCCCGCACAACGCAGAGAATATCGAAACGCGAAAGGATGGGCTCTGTGAGCTCGACGTTCTGGGAGAACGGAATTGTGCTGTTGTAGCGCCCACCAACGGGGTTGGCGGCTGCCACCACAGCACAACGGGCTTGTAAGGTGGTAACAATACCAGCCTTGGAGATAGAAATAGTCTGCTGTTCCATGGCTTCGTGGATCGAAGTCCGGTCCTGATCGTTCATCTTATCGAACTCATCGATCAGGCATGTGCCCCGATCCGCAAGCACCAGAGCTCCTCCTTCCAGAGTCCATTCGCTGGTCAAAGGATCGCGACGTACGCTGGCCGTAAGACCAACAGCACTGGCACCTTGACCGGTTGCAAAGACTGCTCGGTGGGCAGTCTTTTCAACGTACTTCAGCACCTGCGACTTAGCTGTACCGGGGTCACCGAGAAGAAGTACGTTGATGTCTCCACGGATGGCCATCTTGCCTTGTGCCTCCTTGCTCACACCACCAAAAAGCGAGAGGGCAACAGCGGTCTTCACGTCCTGGTGCCCATAAATGCTAGGCGCGATAGAGCGCACGATCTTATCAACAATGTCGGGATCCCTGGACAAGGCACGAATCTCGCGCTCATCTTCTTCGGTTAAGTGGAAACCAGCCAGCTGGTCGTGCGACTTTACGATATGATTCGCCTCGATGATTGTGGCAAAGACAGGGAAACCGTTCTTGTTGTTAAGCTGAGCGTCGTAGCTGTTCCGGTAGATACCAGTCACCTCGATCTCATCGCCTGGTTTGGCAGAATCGATGAGATCTGCAAGTAAGACGACTTCGCGCTGACGCGGCAGTCGTCCGGCGGGCACAGAGCCTGGGGATTCTTGCAATGTGAGCTTTTGGTAGTTCCGGTACACGGTCTTCTCGGAGTTGATGGTAAACGGCCCCTTCGACTGGCAGTTTTGACAGTAAGAGATCTTGACCTCCGCGCTCGCCTCCTGCTGGAAAGGTCCCAATGTGATATTGCACTTCTGGCAAATGAACATGACATATTTCAATTGCGGGAAGACGCCGGTCCGGCGGGTGACAACGCCACTGACGCGGACAAGGCAGTTCAGATGTTGCTGGCGCAGCTGCCGTAATGTGTAGACGATCGGAAGATCCGAGATTCGGACGTGAATCTCCTTGTGAATATCTTGGTATTGAGGGTAGTGGAAGAGCGTGACATCAAGCGCAACTTGGTCAAAGACTTTGAGGACCTCGGTCGGTTCATTCGCAAGGAAATAAGAAAGAGCGGCCTTGGTGGAACTCAAGTGAACATAGGAGACCTCAAGTGATGCAGAGTTCACCTCACCAAGTGTTTTAATTTTGTGTCCGTAGACTGACTGACCAGCTTGGTCGGTGAACTCTGTGAGGAAAGCCTTGAATTCTCGATATATCGAGCGCAGAACTTGTGGCTGCAGCACCCAATCAGTGATGTTGGCCGCCTTTACATCAGCTAACTCCTCCAGGGAGAGCTCTTCCATGGCGTCGTCGCCCATTTCGATATCCTCGCGGTCCTCATCGTAGTGATGTCTTCGCCGCCGAGGTTGGCGAGTGAGGTCCATATCACCTTCATCATCATCTTGCAAGAAAGCGGCGGGCATGCGGCGGCGACGATCGAGCTCGTGATCTCTTCGGTTCAAGCGAGCTTCCAGCTGCCGACGAGTCGCAATGTCAAGTTCTTCATGGTCTCCATCATCGTCAATGTATTCGCCTTGATAACGGTCGTTTCCAGCATCTCGGTAATCTCTTTCAAAGTTGTCTCCAAACAGGTCGATTCCATCTTCATCCTCTGCCATCTCATCAATATCGTCGATGTCACCCAGAAGCTCTGCTTCTTCATCTCTTTCGTTGTCGTCATCATCAAAGGGGAGCATAGGAGGAGAGGAAGGAGGAGCTAGGAAAAATCAGCCATCTACAAATTCACTTTTGACTTTAAATGCGATGAAAACTTACGACTCGAGGGAGGAGCAACAGATGACGCTTCATCATCAGGCTCTCTGGATCTTTTACGTCGGTTCAATCTCCCCAAGCCGCGATTGGCAGCAGATGTGCTGGGTCGAAGTGGTGAACTGCCATGAAATTGATTAGACCCCTGGGAAAGAAAGCGGAGTGCTCCTCAGCCAACAAGGCAAATGTGCAGGTTAAAGTACATACCTCATTTTGTGTAATTTTCAGCCTGGCACTCAAGGATGAATAGGACAGACTGAATTGGCTATGTCCACAGAAGTCGCCGGGATGACAGACACTTCTTTACAGTAGTGGGGAGAGGAGCAAAGGGAGAAAAGAATCCTTGGCGGTGTTGGTGCTGGTGCGCGGTAAACGACGCGTCAAGGCGCGACTCCCACGCGTCAGATTCAATTTAAGTCCTACTTGGGTAATACTCTTGCCTCATTCGGACCTCGCCGCTTTAAAGGGTTAGTGTTAAGCTGGACGGTGATACTGACTGCACTTCGTACGACCACCTCATAACCAAAAAGACTTGAAGAACCAAATTTGTTCTATCGACCATATCCACGACTGACAATCTTTCGGGTCTTCGCTTTCTCGAAGTCAAGGCCATCCGCGAAATCCTGAGCTTCTTGAACATTACAAGCAGTAAAGGTTGGTGCAAACAGAACAAACATCTTATGCACCCGCGTCGCGTCGGATCCTGATAGGGCTTGGTCGTATACTCTTCAACCTGAGACATTGCTTGATATATCTAGTGTCCTGTTTCAGTGACCTGTTGGCCTAATAAAAAGAGCGATAGCGACAATGAGCGCATCTGAACCGGTTGAGCCGTTAGCCGGCGTCGACCAGCAGAAGAACTCTCAAGATGCCGGTAAGCGGAGAGAGAGCTTCAGCTCTCAGAACTCGCAAACCGCCAAAGAGTAAGAAGCCTACTTCTGAATTATATGATGGTTTTGATAAGAAATCCGAAGACTATGCCGCTGTTTACTAACACGCGATGTCCATAGATTCATCGAATCGCAAATGCGTCTCGAGGCCGACGCCCGCGAGATCCTACCATATGTGAGTCGGTCTCCTCCCCATCGCGACAACAAGCGATCCTCATCTGACGCCGTCTAGTCCTTTGATTCCTGCACACAAGCTCTAGGACCTTTGCGACAGATTCTGTTCGCCTGTCTCACATGCAACCCTCCCTCCGACAAGCCAGATGCAGCGCACACTTCCGCAGGCGTCTGCTATTCTTGCTCTATCGCTTGCCACGGCGAGCATACACTCGTCGAGCTATTCAGTAAGAGAAACTTTGTCTGCGACTGTGGGACAACGCGCGTGTCGTCCGGCCTACCCTGTACGCTTCGAAATGACCCTGAGACCGGTGCAAAGGGAGTTCGGGCCCAGGAGCCAGCGCCGGAGAACAAATACAACCACAATTTTCAGAACAGGTTCTGCGGCTGCGGCGAGGACTACAATGCCTTCGAAGAAAAGGGAACAATGTTTCAGTGTCTTGGGCTGGGTACGGTCGAAACCGGTGGTTGTGGCGAGGATTGGTGGCATCCGGAGTGCCTGATCGGTTTACCAAGGAACTGGTATAAGAAAGTGAAAGCTGCGACGGAGGATGTCGAAGCCGCAAAGGAGAATAATGAGGCGGATGAGAATGACGATGAGGATACACCTCTGCCCCCCGGATTCCCGGCTGAAGATGACTTCGAAACATTCTTGTGTCACAAGTGTGTCGAATCAAATCCGTGGTTGAAGCGATACGCAGGAACTCCAGGGTTCCTTCCAGCAGTCTACAAGGATGGCGGTCTGTCAAAAGGCTCCGAAGAGGAGCGCACAAGCGCAGAACCTTTGAATGCGTCTTCCGACCCGTTGACCAACACCAAGAAACGTAAGACCGACGATGATGACACGACAGAGGCAAAGGAGACAATCGAGCCAGCTGCAAAGCGGGCAAAGACAGAGGCCGATGGCGAACAAATTTTCACAGAATCAAAATCAGAGACTACCCAACCAGAACCCGCCAAACCCAAGCACGAATCCCTCCCTAACCCACCCCGACCCGGAACATTCTCCCTCTTCCTCAAAGAAGACTTCCGCGAGCACTTCTGCCGCTGCCCAGAATGTTACCCCAACCTAGCCAAGTACCCTCAACTCCGTGAAGAGGAGGAAACATACGAGCCCCCTCTCTCGGAGGATGGCGATGCCAACGGTGGAGGCAGCACCGGAACGGGCAGCATCTACGACCGCGGCGAGGCAGCCCTTAGTAACATCGACCGTGTCCGGGCTATCGAGGGTGCGATGGTGTACAACCACCTCCGTGATAAAGTGAAGGAGTTCCTGAAGCCCTTTGCGGAGTCCGGCACGGCGGTCAGTGCGGAGGATATCAAGGCCTACTTTGAGAAGTTGCGTGGTGATGAGAAGCTGATCAAGGATGCTGCTGCTGGTCAGGCCTCCGCTTCTTCCGGGAATGGTGGCAATGAGAAGGACGAGGGAGGAGATGGTCGGAAAGAACAAAGTGGTATGTTACGCTTGAGATTATCTGTTGCCTCAGGCCTTTTACTGACTCCTAGCAGGTTACTGAAATTACGCGTCTTTTCTGCTCACTCTTGACATCAATTGTATTTTACGAAATGCAATAATGAAATGGACATAGGAATGGGAACCGGTAATGGCAATGGGCTTTCATTAGGCGTTTAGGGACGGAAGGAATGGATGGAATTTGTACATCAAGGCACCTATTTCATTTGCAATCTAAGTCTAATTACTACCATGCACAGTTCGAACTTTAATTGGAATGAGGCGAGTTCTCCTATAGCATAGTAGATTCGCCAATGATTGCGCCTGAGACAATGACCAAGTCGGCGCAAACGCAACGATATCTTAACTGCAAAATCAGAAAGCCCATGGACGCCAATCCATGCATTAAATGGTCTATGAGAAGAATCCTAAACGCCAGTCACATGCTTGAGCTCGAATACCGGAAGAGAAAATATATGCAAATCACTCTTTGAGCCGCTTTGCAGCCCTACCCATGAGGCTATCGTCTGGCAGCCCGCTCCGCTTGGTGCCGGGTAAACTGCCGGAGCGGATGTCGTTGTCATCTTGAGTGACTCGGCGGTGGGGATATTTGCCCTCGTAGCCCGCGAAACAATTAGCCGTGACTGGTGTACCTGTGGTGAAATACGGATGCTCCAACGCCTCCCGGGCTGATATCCTTTTGGTAGGGTCGTATTCGAGCAGCCGCGATAGTAGGTCGAAGCCTTCGGCGCCTGGCGTGCCTGCAGCAGACCCTGGGGAATACCCATTATTCTTCAGACAACTTTGGTACCATCCTTCCAGATTGCACTGTCTGTTGAGATATCCTCTCGACATCGCTAACGACTGAAGTTGGGAGAATTCAGGCATCGATACGAGACCGGGCCATGTTTCCTTTCTGGGCAAGCCCATGATGTCAATAATCTTCATCATCTGGTTACGCTGGAATGGGACAGTCTTTTTGCTGTCCATCTTAGCTTCTTCTCCTTTGAAGATGGGTCGGAGAGAGAGCAGTTCCGCGAATATGCATCCAACTGCCCAAAGATCCACGGCCGGCGTGTAGTGCCGGCTGCCCATTAATAGCTCGGGAGCACGATACCAGATCGTGACGACAACCTTGTCTCCGGAATAAAGAGAGTTAAGCGGTTTGTAAAATAGACGCGCAAGGCCCAGGTCTCCAATGCGGACCGCACCGCTCGAAGTCACTAGAATGTTTGCCGGCTTCAGATCTCGATGCAAAACCCAATTCGTATGAAGGTATAGGAGGCCATTCAGCAGCTGAAACAATATCGACTTGATCATCGGTGCCGGAATGGCATGTCTTTGCGGCTGAGTGTGGTGATGGATGATCTGAAGCAGATCATGCTCAGTGTACTCGAATACCATGAAGATACACTTGTCTTCCAAGATGATCTCTGCCAGTTGCACTACGTTGGGGTGATCTAATTCAGAGCACAAAGCCATCTCCCGGATTGCCGACTGCGAGAGACCTGTGTACTGGATGATTTCACCCTCTTTGTCGGGCTTGAATCTTATTTGGTCAGCCACTATAGGCAAAAATTAACGGGGGAGATTTGACTCACTTCTTGATCGCATATTCGCCTTTCCGGCCATCCTTTCCGATGGCTTTGTAGACGCGACCATATGTACCACTGCTGATGAAGCCAACGATGTGATACTTGTCACGGACCCGTACTTTGCTGGTATACCCAGTTCCCGAGGGTCTCTTCGAGTCTAGACTTTCTTTAAACAAAGAGTCAGCATGTTGAAGAAACCTAGATGTTTAGAGTGTATATGCTTGGGACTCCAGTTAATTCCTTTGTTAAAGCAAAGAACAGGGGTATATAAAAAGGCGACAAATGGGTCAAATGGCGGAAAGTCTCGCCGCAGATAGATAAACTCATTAGGAAAGGCCCTGCAGCAAATGATGACAGGCAGAACACTGGGGCCAGCTTAGAGGGAGATTACCACGTGGATAGAACCCGCCGATGGAGTTAAAGAATGGGAAGTTTCTTCCAAACATGATGGGCAAGATACAAAGAAGCCGCAGCGGAGCTCCACAGCTCAAAGGCCTTTTTATCTTTTCATCTGCAACAAAAGCTTAAATCTCTCCCAGAAGGCAGCAGCACATGAGAGGATTCTGAAAAGGGTAAGAAGAAAGTAGAAGACGGAGAAGATGAGCACTTAAGAGAGTCGAGTGGCAAGGAAAAGAAGAAATAGATGTAAAATAGGTGACAATATGATATTAACCGGTATTACCATCAACAGCGGCCTGTAAATTCCGTTTTAAAGACAGATTTTGGCTGACGCTGGCCGCAGCGGACCGAGAGGATGCAGTTAATGGGCCGGATGATGAAGGCTGGTTTGTCAGACTCATGGATGGAAAGATTGGTGTGGAATAGCAAAAGGGCCCGAAAGGTGGAGGTCCGGAGGTATCTCTCGGTAACCGTTCAACTGGGGTGGATATAGTAGTGTACTAGGATCTCCTCATCGAAATCCACGGTCGCAGTAGTGGCATGGACAGTGCACTCTTAGGATTCTTGACAGCCTGTCTCCACAACTACTAGAAACGATTGCATGCAGAAACGATGATGAGGTTGGGTTTTGATAGACAAATAGCAATGGCAGTTGAGTATGTTGAGTGATCGGTCTGGCTCTGTTTCTCGATTGTCCCTGAATTTCCCCCTCTTTTGTTAGTCAGCAGGCATATGTTGCTTTTTCGCAAGTCACTCTCGCTCCATGAGAGATACAGTTCGGATGATGAATTTACTTTCTTTATGACTTATTAGCTGAATGTCTGAGTTGGCTTGCATAATTCCATGGTAGTGTCTTTGGCCACTTTTCATTGCTGATATGTATCGTCGTTGACAAATTGCTGGATCCCGTGTTATACTCCAGCATCTGCGCAGTCATACTTTGAAGGCGCTGCTAGTCTCGGGACATAGTATTTTCATCAACTTCAATAGGCTGACCGTACGACTTCTCTCCTTGTAGACCGTAGACATATTGCTAGATCTACATGAACTGAATCAGCACGGAGTTTCCTTTATCCCGGCAGCAGTCTAAGCTCCCACCGGCCCCTTTCAACGTCATCTGCGACCAACCAATACCTACTACGGGTAGTAGGGTCAGAATACTTTCAGCTTCAATCTCAGCAATACAATGGTTTGATATTATTAACTAAATTCCTCCCTCGTGGCTTCTTGTACCTCGATCTAGCTATATGATTCAGATCAATATCCACTCCGACAGACCAACAGACCAGTAGCATCATGAGTCCCAGTGGACTGACCCGTTCCAGGGTCACAGGGTACCTGGTCTATCTCGTTTTTGTTGTCACACTGGGGCCGCTTCAATTTGGCTATCATCTGGTTTGTGCAGAGCGCTCTTGGATTGCTTGACTCCTGGCCGTTACTTACCCTGGACTGAAACAGGCCGAGCTTAATGCCCCCCAAGCTGTTATTACCTGCGAGCGAAAGAGCATCCATTCTACCGCTTCAGCATTGTTCAGAACTCTGCCTCAATGCATTCCGATGAACCCTTCCCAATTCGGTCTGGTGTCCTCCATATACACCCTTGGTGGTTTGCTAGGTGCCCTGCTGGCAGGGCCCGTTTCCACTAAACATGGGCGACTATTCGCCTTGCGAGCTACAACGATTTTCTTCATTCTGGGCCCGGCAGCCGAAACGTTTGCACCAAGTATACCGATCTTGAGTGTCGGTAGGTTGCTGAGTGGTGTTGGTGCGGGCGCTGCTATTGTCGTTGGTCCAATTTATATCTCCGAAATTGCCCCGCCCAACGCGAAAGGGTTCTTCGGCGCCTTTACGCAGATTATGACCAATGTAGGTATTCTATTTACCCAGACGCTCGGCTACTTTTTCAGCAAAGGAGATCAATGGAGGGCCATACTTGCCGTGGCTGGGTTACTCGGGGGCTCGGAACTCCTTGGTCTATTCTTCGTACCGGAAAGCCCCACTTGGCTGGCTGAGCATCAACAGGCGAACCTGGCCAGACATGTGCTGCAAAGGATACGTGGGAAGGATGCAGATATCGAAGAGGAGATTGAAGGATGGAAGAGCTCTGAGAGGCCCACAGGACCGGAGGAGGAGTCACTGCTCACCCCTCCTTCTGGCAACTTGCCACCTAAGCAACCTCCAGTTACGATCCTGCAAGCTGTGACAGATCCATACTACCGTCCGGCCATCGTTGCTGTCATCGGAGTCATGGTGGCTCAACAGTTCACCGGCATTAACAGTATCATCATGTATAGTGTCTCGCTTCTACAAAGTCTCCTTCCCACGGGAGCGGCTTTATTGACTGTGATGATCTCCGCCCTTAATCTGGTCATTACTCTTGCGTGCTCACCTTTGCCTGATAAGATTGGCCGAAAGACCTGCCTGCTTCTGAGCATCTCCGGCATGGGGTGCAACTCCGTCTTGCTGGCGCTTGGAATCTATTTCAATCAGAAAATCTTGTCCGCGATAGCAGCTTTGTTATTTGTGGCCAGCTTCGCCGTTGGATTAGGACCGGTACCTTTTATCTTGGCCTCTGAACTAGTTGGTCCCGAGGCTGTGGGTGCGACGCAAAGCTGGGCGCTGGCGGCCAACTGGACCGCCACGTTCATCGTGGCTCAGTTCTTCCCCGTGCTCAATGACGCATTGGGCGGCCGTGGTAAGATCTACTGGATCTTTGCGGTATTGGCTTGCCTTCTTGGGGGCTTCATCTACGGATGGGTGCCTGAGACCAAGGGCAAGGCCAATGCCGATGAGGTTTGGGAAAGAGAAGACTCGAGACGGAGAGACTAATGCTTTTCTGTTTCATCTATCTGGTCGTTGCCTCTGAGTACTCTTTTACTTTAGCAAGGAATCGAAGCCTTACATCCGTATACCATTTCATTATTATGCACCGGTTCGGAACGGACCGAAACAATGTCTAGGTTGAACTTACTTGCGTCATATTGGAAAATCGTCCGCATTTAGTTTAACTATGATTGATGCTCTTGCTTACGAAGTAGCACTGTTAGGAGCCCATTCAGCTACTTTGGGTTTGGCGGCAGTAACCCCCGCCTTCTTGCGTCTCAACTGTGCTCAGTTCCCTAGTTGACTTTAGGATGAACTACAAAACAGGTGGTGTCGAACAAGATCAAAAGATATACTATGTAATGCATAGTAAAGTCAAAATGTGGTACGTAGTGTCATACTGATATGAATAACTCCACTGAGCCAGAGAGACTGTATGGTACCTACCCCCCACTGATCCGATCCGTCACTGATCAATGAGGGGAAAAGTGGGAGTCGGTCTCATGGATGAAAAAGGTGGACTAGTCATGCAAAAAGACGTCAAGCGACTTGAGAATGTTGCACTGGTGCACAACTAGCATGCATAGGAGGAGCCTCCGAAGGTTTGCCTCTCTAATGATTGAAGATGAGATATGGTAGAGAAGTAGGCAGCCATATTCAAGAATAGCCTCAATTCCTCATTGCTCGACAGCAACGGTCGTGGTGGGGACCGGAATTGTAATTGCCCAGTGCTTGTTGAGCCGTCGGTGGATCGATGTTTGATCTTCCCACAGCTCTTCTTTCTGTCACTTTCTATCATTTGCCTGTTTGTGTCTGACCTTGACGTCTTAAAGCGTAACCAAGAGTCTTCCGGTAGGCTCGATGTATGTATGTATAGTTTTAGCTTCACAACCTGCAAATAAATGATGATTAATTGGATTCCCACGACAAATGACTGCAATCGTGAATTCTTTCTCCTCGACACTCAATTTTAGAATTCTGCATATTATCCTGTAGAGATCTCCTCATTCTACGCCTCAGTGAGATGGTCAGCTAAAGAAGGCTCAAGCCCCCACCAAGAAAACCAAAATATAGTACTACCCGTGCTAACAGTCTTGGTACTTATTGTTGTTCTCTCTCTTAATTTGAGGTAGTGTATCTATCCCCTATTCACATTCCCATCAACTTTCTTTCCTCTGTCTTTTTCTTCACGCATTCATCTTGACTCCCTTAGATCAAGCTGTCAAGAAATTCAATTGCATTGTCGTCACAATTTCCATTCTTATTCTTCCTTCGCAATCTATTGTGGACTTTGTGGTGGCTCCCGTTTCTTGGTGTGAACGGAACTCTGATCGACCCGACCAGATCTTAGATCAATCCGGATTCAACCACACCGCGACATCCTCCGGTCGGTGGACGGTCCTAGAACCACCCATTTGCGATTCATTATATCATCATTCTTTCTACGATCTGCACCTGTTATCATAACAACATACTGGACATCATCTCTTCTCAGACGTTAGAATATTCTTGGGGCTGACGCGACGTGTCCTCCGGCTGCCATCTTAAGCAGCTCCCCCGCAATTTCCGCCGTCCACCATGGTGCGGCTACCATTGCCTCAACGTCTCAGCTCTCATCTCAGCGTGAAGAGCAATGCTTCGACTCCTGGTCAGAGCAGAAGCACAAGTCCGATGAGAACAACTGAGGCAAGGCCGCTGGTTCTCAAGGTTTCTGCAATTAGGGTGAGCGGACCCCTTCTCCAGCCCGGAACTTCCGCTGAGCTCCGTGGAATGCCACTTCCGGAGGCTAACTTCTCAATTTGAACAACATCAGGGCAGAAATCTTGCAGCTAAAGACCGAGGTGGAACCAGTGATCCGGTGAGCTTTATCAATGGGATACGAAAACTGAGGACAGGGCTAATCAGGTTGCGTATTTAGTATCTAGTTGTTACACTCGGAGACTCAAGACAATCGACCCCAACGATACCGAAGACGTTGAATCCGGAATGGAACGTGACTTTCGAGATGCCGGTGGTTGGTGTACCGTTGCTGGAGTGTATCTGCTGGGACCATGACAGATTCGGGAAAGATTACTTGGGCGAGTTTGACATCCCCCTCGAAGACATCTTCGCCGATGGCGAAATCAATCAGCCGGTGAGTAAGGAGGATATATTGGCTTAGATCATGGCCACCAGCTGATCGTCTGTCAAGCCCAAATGGTATACACTCAAGTCGAAGCGGAAG